CACCTCTCCTAAATCGGTAAACAGTGAGAATTCTGGCACTTTGTACCCTCTAGGCCATGGATATGCTTGGTCTACCCAATCAGGATATGGCTTTGTGTAAGTCGGCCTAACAACGGGACGCACCCCAAAAGCCATCTGATCCTGTACGATTTCCATAATCTGATTTCTCAACATGACTTTGGGGTCATATGGAATTCCTACAGGCTGGTTAACCGGTTGATTTGCATGAGGCCTGATATTTGGTCCTTGATTGGCAACAAAGTTACCATAATTAGGGTCATTACCATTAGCCTGAACATCTATTCCCTCATTAACACATAGGGTATTCTATCCATTGTTTAGGACATTATCTCTTATGTTTGGATTACCCCCCAAGTTAGGTGTACCACTACCATTGTTCTGATTTGGCACTGCAGTACCCCCTTGGTTTGAAGTAGAGGGACCAGAAAGTGGTTCTACCCCTTGATTCGGATTTAGGACTGATGGATTATGTCCCACAATTGTCCTAGTTTGAAAGTGATTTGCAAGAGGTATAATCGAATGACATATTTGGCCTACTAACTTATTCATTGTTTCGTTCAAAGTGTTTAGTTGTTTGGCCATGTTGTCATAATGTACATTCCCATTTTGGGTAAATTTTTCCATATTATGAATACATCGAAAATTTACCTGTTCAACGATGTCTTGTGTGAGTTCTCCAAGTAATGCACGCATGGTTCAAGGACTCAACTTCGTCATTGGTTCGTAACGACTGTTACTGCTCTGATTCTGTCCATCTGTTCGTGGAGAGGCATGCTGCTCCTCATATCGCTCAATCACAGACTGGACTCCTCCCTGACTTGCTGCTTCCTTATCGGATCTCTGAGGCATATTGTTTCACCTTTTGAATTTTCAACACCAAACACCACTGTCCCACTGGGCGTACCAAATTGTTTCGCGCGGGTTAGTCGCTAACAATTAAAAAGGATCAGAGGATTGTGTAAGGGACAAACCTCTTTAGACAAGTCCCAAAAAGGGGTGTTCTTTTATTGGCGATGACTTTACAATTGGAAATCAAAAACAAAATGCCTCCAAGGGGCGCAAGCACACGAGTTACTGAAAAAAGTGTTTAAGTCTAAGTTAAGGAATTTAAAATTACATGTTCTTTGTTCAAGAGTTTTTGATTCGGTCTTTTGCTCTATGTCTTTTCTCCCTTTTATACTCCATGGATGATCTCTTTGTGATCAACCGCCTAAAAACTGTTTGATTGTTCTACAACTACCCACTTTCCTCGTAATGGCCAGCTTGTCATGAAACTGCCTTTTTTAACTGCTGCCACTACTCTTCGTCTTTCAACCATTTTCGATTGAATTCCTTGAATCGTAGAACGTGATAGGGCTGCTTTAATAACTGCTTTGATAACTACACTTCTTGATAACCACAACGCTTTATGTTTGCTAAAACCTTGGGCGACTTGAAGGTTTGGGCGAGAATAGAGTAACAGCTCTGGGCGACTGCATGGCACTCCATTCGCTCAGATTCTGGGCGACTTACAAACTTGGGCGATAGCGTTACCTCGTTCTTGAGCCTCCCTATTTGGGCCTTCATCTTGAATTATTTGATTGGGCTTCGTTCTTTAGGCTATCTGATTTGGGGATCCTCCAATTGGGCTTCATTCCTTGGGCCATTTGATTTGGGCTGAATTTTTATGTGTCAACACACTTAATAGTATATTCTTCTTCTTTTGAAATCGAGTCCCGACAGACAGAACGAAAAGGAATGCATGAATACCATCGATTGCCATATCTAAGCAATTAATAATTTCTTTTGCAATGGATTTAGCGACAACAGAAATATCTTGCAAACCTGCATTTTTCTCAAGTTAAAAATATATATAGTTACAGTAAAAGATGTATAAAGAATAGACCTTAGCATCTTACATCGGGGCCATGTTCCTCAGAATTACTGTGCTTGTGGTTAGTTGTAGGTAAACATTATTTCCTTTGCATTTTCTCATTTACAAATAAATATGTTTACAATCAAGTATTCTGTACCTGGAGTGTCAATGACATTCAGCCTCCAGCCATCTTCCATTAACAATGTCTTCAGCTCGCTAAAACGGGCAACAGAAGAACTTTTACGAATCGACTTGAATAGCTTTCGTTGAAGGATACTGTTCCCCGTGGCACTTTTTCCATTACCAGTTCTTCCGAATAAAACTGTAGTTCAAACTTTATCTGGAGACCATCTAAAATCAGATTCATCACTTATTGCACTTCCACCCATTTGCTGGACTTAAAATCTGCTAAACAATCTACAAATTGAGGAAAAAAACTTCAAAAAGGGATTTGTAGAGTACGTATTCAAATGCTACAATAATAGGGATGCAGAGTTGCATATTTTCAAGTGTGCACATATATATACACACATCAAGCTCAAGGTATGAAGCTAGCTAGTACCCATGTCAAGATTGATCATACAATAATTCATTTACAAGAAAAAAATTCATTTTTTGTTCTGCATTAACGTGTATTAACTTAGACCATTCATACGTATAAAAGAAACACATACATACACGAATCATATAGAGAGACTATTCACGTTCTTGAAAAAAAAAAAAAAATAATATATATATATATATATATATATATACACACACGAAAAGTTCATTTTACCTTTAGTAAAGATACTTTTAATAGAAACAGAGAATGTGTGATTTTACTAACTAAGCTATTCAAGGTAAAAATAATAAGAATGACTCCAGTAATTCATGTACTGTTACAGAAGTCGAAGCGCTCAATTTTGATGATTGCAACAATCCATTATCTACGTTTTGTGCGAAATACTAAGGTAAAGTCGAAGCGTTCAAGTTTGATGACTGTAATTCAATTGTTTAAAAGTATCACGCATTTCAAACATCCATTATTTATGTTTTGTGCGAAGAGTTATACTACATGTACGGCAGCGGCGGAGCCCCATTAGTTCCAGTGCGGACGGACTTTTGGGCCCAACTCCATAGGCCCAGAAATTTTATTTTTATTTTTATTTTTATTTTTTGCTTGTTTCCTGTTTTCAAGCCTAGAGAAAAGCCCAATGCCCAATTGCCCACAGCTCACGACCCGTTTACTGACCCAGTGACCCTGATTCATTCCCCTCAAAAATCAATTGATCAGTTTCCTCTTCATATTTCATCCATTTGAAAACTGAAATCAAAACCCTTCCCTTCGTGTCTCTCGTGAGTTCGTCTCGTTCGGACCGGTCGCCACTTCCTCTCTGTCGGTGCCGGTCACTGCCACTTTCCAACCATTCCAGACTTCCAGTCCGGCATCTCCTAGACTAGGCACTCTAATCTCCGTCGCCGACTCTAGTCGCTCATTCGCCGCCATCCTTAAACCGCCACCAGAACCGGCTATTCTTCCAGCAATTTGAGGCAGCCAACCCAACGAAAGAAGCTAGAAGAAGGTAAAGTCCCTCCCAATTTCAATTTTTCACTAGTATGGCAGATTGGCAGTGTCTAGTGATTTTGAATTTTTTTTTCCCTTATTTGTTGTTATTTTGAATTCTTTTTTGTTTTTAACATATGAAATGTAATTAGCACTTTGGACTTCGATTGCTCAAAGAGGTACGGACAGCAGGCTTCCCGGCTTCCAGTGGACTGTGAAATTGTAAGTTCAAGTTGCTTAAGATTTGGAAATAGTATAAATTGCATTGTGAAATTGCGAATTGGACGGTGAATTGATAATGTAAAATTGTGAATTGTAAATTGCATTGTGAAATGTGAGTTGCACTGGATTGATAGTAAATATTGGTATTGGACTGCAAATTCATTATGTGAAATTGTGAATTGGACTGTGAATTGAAATTGTGAAATTGTGAATTTGTGATGAATGATAGCACAATTGTTTATGTAGAGAAAGATATATTTTTGAAATTCGATAATGAAGTTATTGTACGATAATATTAAAATATGAAAACTCGCAATGAACAAGATTAATATATAAATTATGTAGTTTTTAATATTGTTGTAATATTGTTTTATTTTTTTTTATCATCATTAAATTCATGATCAAAATCTCGACGTTCGGCGTTGAAAAATGTTGCCCACACTGAAATCAAATTCTGGCTCCGCCCCTGCTTGTACGTATCAACAAAAGTGTAAATAATTTCTGTGCAAGTAGTTTAATTGTTGTGCGAAATACTAAGATCATGTTTAGCTTTAGAATTAAGACTCATTAATTCGGGCACCCCTCCCCCGCTCCAGGAGCATCAACCATGAAGGTACATTGACAGAGCTTTTTTGAGATACAAATTCAATGAATAAAGACACAATTTCCTTTCTTAGTTGTTACATAATGATTTAATAATGGTTTAAAGTTGTGAGATATGATTGGATCATAATTTTTAAAAAAAAAAAAAAAAAAAAAAAAAAGAAACACCTTCCCACGCTCTTTTTTTGACAATTCATTAGTATGTAAACTATGATGTAACTTCATTACGTATAAGTAAGATTATTCTTTCCTAGTTACCATACAAGTGCAGCATCTATAACCTGATTAGCAAATAGTGAAAAATTAAATCACAATATTCCAGAAAATCCTTCAGTTTTTAATCCTATAAATGTTGCTTTATCTTTCCTAAATTTTACATGATACACAAAGACCGGTGACAGTGCAAGTGAAATTTAGAATTTCTAATATCTGTTCTTGCTTTTTGAAGCACCATGCATGAATTTGCGGAGCATGTTTCTATGCAAATTTTTGTTTTGATATCGTCTTTTCTTTTACTTGGTACATATTATCGTTTTGAGATGTAGGAATATGGATTATTTTAAACCTCTGTTTGTTTCCCATTCCTTCTCCATTAAAATTAAAAATATGATCGTTATCCATCATATCAAGTCACCAAATTTGAATTTCTATCTCTTGTGTGGAACCCATAACGACTATATTTTTCATTCTCATTTTTACAAAAATGAGAAAGAAACGCCCCCTAAATGTACTTTGTGTTATAAAACGTGTATGTTATCTTTCATGGTCAACAGTCATGCTACATGATTAATTCCACGGTTAACAAATAAATGTTGAATAAGAACTTCGAGCAGGGGAATAAGTCACTTTTTAAAGTTATGTAATTCTCCCCAATAATATATACATGAACCTTATAATCTCAATCGTCATCACAAAATAGAACATTTGCCACTGACAGCTTGCTTTCGCAGCTCCTCAGTCTCCCTCTGAGCTTTCTCTAGATGTTCTCTCAGCTTTCGTATTTCATCATCAGATTTCACCTGAGCAGCTTGTGCATTCGCTTCTGCCTTCAAACGAGCAGCTTGCTCTTCGGCCAATTGCTGTTCAAGCCTTTGAGTAGTCTCCTTTAGCTTCGACTCAACCTAAAACAATATTTTCCATACAAAGCAAAACAAATGTTCCATAAGTACCCGTCATATATAAATCACTCCCGATAGTTGTAGCATGGAACATAATCCTGTCTTGCTAGTTCCCAGAGTGAAGAGGCATATTAAACAAGATAAACTATTTTCCATTGACTGACTTTCAGTTCATTAATGAACTGTTTGATTCAAGGATATGCCATTGCAAAGGGAAAAATCATTTTACATGTCATACAGATGGGTTTCCTTCATGTCAATAGCTGGAAACTTGAGGTGTAATCATACTTTTAGGATTAATTGTATCGGAATTTTAGACCGATAAGCTGAAAGATAATAGAACAAGTACGCAGACAGCAAGGGAAGTTGATAAATAGTAAGCTGCATATGCAAAGATAAAATTCAAGTTGAAGGTATGCACAAGGTTCTTTGAGTGAAAATAGTCAAATTCATACAAATTTCTTTTATATTGGCATTAAATTTGTCTGTTTTAACACTGATTGGCCCACATTTCAATACTAAAGCTTCGTAGAACAATAAGTTCCTAGGTAATTTGCTTTGTTTACCAAGCTTATTTACAAGAGTTTGACTAGATAGAAAATTCAAAATTATTAACCTGTTAAGAGCATTACACAACACACTTGATAAACAATAATTCCGGCCTACCTTCAAAGGCTCTGGGCAGGCACGACCCAAGTAATCCTCCAATGTTTCATCATTTTCTTCCAGGTCATCTCCACCGGTGAAAACTACTATCATATAGTCACTAATTTTGCTACCAAAGAATTTCCGCAAGCTCTGAACAGCAGCTTCTTCTTCTCTTGAAAATCGAGATCTAACAGAAAGAACTACAAGAACAGCATGGATACCATCCTTTGCCATATCGATGCATTTAACAATTTCTTTTCCAATAAATTCTGGTTCAGCAGAAAAATCAAACAATCCTGCATTTTTGTCAAGATAAACATTTATTAATGTTATAAAACAGATATAAAGAGAATAGATCATAGAATTTTATATCTCGCCGTTTTTCCTCAAGAACATTATTTTCATTTCATCCAATAAGTCAAACTTATTTCAATTGCATTTCAAAAGTCTTCTTCCTTCTACATTGACGTCCAGGACCTTGTTTTTCTTTACTTTCAAATTGAGATTTATCAAAAAGAAAGCCCTTATAAAATATCCTTTACATATAACTATGACTAGTAGTTTATGATATCAGTATCAAATACCGGGAGTATCAATGACACTCAGTATCTTGCCATCTTGCAACACAGTTGTCTGCAGCTCACAACTACTAGTAACACCAGCAGAGCTAGTCATAGACTTGAATGCCTTCTTTTGAAGAATGCTATTGCCAGTTGCACTTTTTCCATTGCCAGTTCGTCCAACCAAAACTATGGTACGAACTTCATTTGAAGGTGAAGTGAACTCCCAATCATCACTGATAGCACTTCCACCCATTTTTTGGAATCAAAATTTCTGTCAAAAGACCAGAGATATACAAATTCATGAAGACATGCTTATGTTGCTAAACTAAAACAAAAGCAATATATCAGAGGAAATCTTCACCAGAAGAAAAGAGGATTCACCAATTTACCTTGTTTGGCAAAGTCAATGGATGCAGGAAACATCACATCACTCCTTTCAGAAATGGGAAGAAATAATACAAGATGCAGGGATTTAAAGAGAAACGAATCCTAGCATATTTTAAATGTATTTTCAAATGTGTGCAAGCGACATTACTAACATGCTTAAAGACTAAAACAGTGCACTTCTAGGATGGTCAGTGACCTACACGTTTTCACCAATAATCACGTCAGCAACATTCAGACATTACACAATTATCAATCACCTTAAAAAATAATAATAATAATAATAAATAAATATAAATAAAAATTCGCTACACCACCTATACTGCATTGAACATCATTATTACTTGTATATAACTAACTACATGTCATTATTTCCTTTATCCATATAAATTTCGAATATAACATTTTCAATCAAAGTATGAAGCTAGGAGCGCAACTCCAAGATTAAACAAAAAACTTAGCATCAACATATGCCCTTTTATTATTCATTCAACTAGTAAAGGCATAAATTCCTAGTTACTATACGAGTAGAGTATCCTACAGTTGTCAGTGCCCAATTAAATCTGCAATATTATCAATTCATGCAGTTTTATCCCACCAATTTTCTTTTTCCTGCCAAAAATTTCACATTTTGCCAAGTCCAACGACTGTATTAACAGAATTTTAGAAATATTGGTAATTAATTATGAAGCTGAGCCCTGTTTCACAAGCTTCTTTTCCTATGGACTCAATGTTATACATTAACGTAATTAAAAAGAAAGAGCATCAATTTTTGTTCTAGATTACATATCAGAAACACTAAAAATCAAAAATTAAAGGAACAAACTGAAATATTAATTTTTTTAAGTAAAGGAACAATCCAACCAGAGACTTCAAACATAACAAGCACTATACACATACACTATAAAGAAACTAAATTCTTATAGTATTATTACAAATCAACAGATCGCGATCGTATGGGTAAGCAGAAAACTGGTAAAAAAAAAAAAAAAAACACTTACCGATTGAAGAAACGGATGAAAGCAGATCAGCGGAGAAGCAACAGTGGGAGACAAAGGGGATGACTTCGTATGCAAGACTTTTTTAAGGCATTTGGATAAATAAATTAGAATAATTATATTGCAAAATGGAAGATAAATATCAGTTTTGGATATTTTTGGACTTACTTCGAAAATTTTAATTTTAAAAGTGTGAGTGGTTTCACCTCTGATCGAAATAATGTAATTAAAATATAATAAAATTTAATAAAAAAGAATAGGTTACTATGCACCGAAAATTTTATATATTGACTTTTCGATAATTAACACAAAACGTTTTTACTTTTCATTGTTACTGTACAAAACGTCATTATCTTTTATTTTTTGATATTTTCACCCCTTTCACATTTTATTGTGGAAAAGATCATTTTCTCAATAAAAAATATAAAATAACAAATATATCATCATATTTAAATAAAACAAAAAGAAAATAAAAGAACAAATTGTAGTTATACTCCCAAACTTTTTAAAAAAATATAAACGAGCCCAAATAAATTATTAAAAGGATAATTAGCACAATACGTCACTATCCTTTATTTTATTTTTTTGGCATTTTCACCCTTATTTTACATTTCATTGCAAAAATCATCATTTTCATCCGTTTTCTCAATTAAAATATATAAAATGACGAATACACTCTCCTGTTTATATAAAACAAAAATAAAGAAAATAAAAATAAAAAACAAATTGAAACTATACTCTCAAAAATTTCAAAAAAGTATAAATAAATTTTAAATAAATAATTAAAAAAGAAATAAAAATCGCTTTCCTTTATTAATTTTTTAATTATATTTTTTTGAAAAATTTGGAGAAATAGTTGTAATTTGTTTTTTTATTTTTTATTTAAATATGAGAGTATATTTATCATTTTACAGCTTTTAATTAAAAATTGATGAAAATAATAATTTTTCGCAATGTAATATGAAAGTAAGAGTAAAAATGCCAAAAAAAGAAAGTTATGAACGTTTTGCACAATAATTTGGAAAGCTATGTACCTTTTGTGCTAATTACTCTTTTAATATATTATTTAGACGTACTTACAGTTTTTTAAAAAGTTTGGGAGTATAATTACAATTAATTTTTTAATTTTTCTTTTCTTTTCTTTTTTGTTTTAATTAATTATGAGGGTATATTTGATATTTTACATTTTTTTTATTTGAGAAAATGACATTTTTTGCAATAAAAGGTAGAAGTAGGGGTGAAAATACCAAAAATGAAAGATAATGACGTTTTACACATTAAAAGTGAAAGGGATAGTCGTTTTATGCTAATTACCCTTTACATTTTTTTTATTAAGAAAATGACCGTTTTCACAATAATAGTGTGAAAATAAGAGTGAAAATACCAAAAAAAAAAGGAAAAAAAAGTTAAGACGTTTCGCATAATAACATTGAAATGTGTGAATGTTTTGTGCTAACAAGTCTTTAAATTAATAAGCTTCTAGACATATTGATAATATTGAATAATAGAGATTTCTCTTCTTTTTTTCGGCGAAATGTTATAATATTTTTTTGTTATTTTGATATTCTTTATTTAATTTGAGGTGACATATATTTTTTATTCTTTTAAAAATGTTTTTATTGACATAAACACTGTAATTTTTTTACTATGAGTTCCTTAATCATTTAAAAGTGGGAAAATCATATATATTACAAAAATAATTTTACAAAATCTTAAAAAAAAAAATCATAATTATTGATGCAGACTACGTTGCTTTAAAATGTGTTAATTGTGATGTTAAAAAGAAATATTTAAAAGAAAAAGGACTGATTGGATCATATCGATTCTTAATTCTACTTGAAGTTCTAATTTGTGGTAAATTGCACGCAGCCATGCCACGTGTTATACATGTTTTTGTCAACACGTGAAAATTGCTTGTCTGAGTCCTTTCAATTGTATAATATACAGGACACCTGGGAAGTGAAGGAACTAACAAACTCAGATTCTTGTGTCTTCACGGATTCCGAACTAGCGCCAAGATTTTCAACAAACAAGTCACCGGAAAGTGGCTGGAATCTGTTCTCGACAAATTGGATTTGGTTTTTGTCAACGCTTCTTTTCCATGTCGAGGCAAATCGGATGTCGAAGGAATTTTTGATCCTCCATATTATGAGTGGTTCCAGTTCAACAAGGTTTATTTCTTTTTATATTTTGGCATTAATTTTAATAAACTTTGTTTAATTTAATTATTTTTCCAGGAATTTAAAGAGTATGAGAACTTTGATGAATGTCTTGCTTATGTCGAAGATTGCATGATAAAACATGGTCCATTTGATGGCCTCCTTGGCTTCTCTCAGGTGTTGAGCCCAAATAAATATGCCTCACATTCTTGGCCACTTGAAGTTCTTTTGGCCGGGTTCATTGTAATGGGTCTTGGTCCATTTATTAAGAGAGACATGTTCCTTTGAAGTGCGACCTCTTCCTTTCTTGAAGATAAGATCTAGCCATACATCTGGCCATCTCTTCACCGTTGATCAACGACTGTTTCCCTTACATGATTAAAGAACTCTTGGACGCCTTATTTTCTTCGAGAGAGATCTATTCTGGTTTTTTGAGTGTATTCTGGGATTTCTCTTTTCTCTCACATCAACGATATCTCTGAGTGAATATCTTTTCTGTAAATCTGAGTGATTTTGATACTACACTTAATGTATAACTTTGTGATACTGCTTCTTGCGAGTTTATGGTGGTGTTGTGATAATTGTTTGTGAGGCGAGATCAAAACTTGAAGAAACTTTGTGTTTCTTCGTACATTTGTAACATTCTTGGGTAATTTCCTAGTGGATCTAAAGCTAAATCTACTTAGTAGATGCTCAACGTGGTGAGTAAGATGTAAGGCTGAACATCCGGGCCTTTATGGTGAAAAAATCCTTCGTGTTCAATTTTTATTTTTTTGCAACTTTATTTTTCTGTGAATCTTGCGATAATTTGTTTTCGTTTAACCTCTTGAGAACCTATAGGTGGTATCAGAGCATCTTCTCTGGAGGATTTGGATACAGTTTTGATTTTTTTTTAAAAAAAAAAAAAAACCTAAGTTTTTTTTTCAAACCATTTTTTATTCGTAGATCTTTGAGATTAAAAGTTTTTCTGAGTGAAAAATTATGTTTCTCTGAAAATTTGATGGTATATCTCACCTCGATTCAACTTTTTGATTAGATCCCTTGAAATCTTGAATACTCTTCTGGGTTGATCTGTAAGATATTATGATACTCATCGAGTTGTAGGGTTTTTAAAATCAATTTTTCTGATTCGTTTTTTAACTCTGTAATCTGCTATTTGTGCCGAGTTTTGGTGAGTTAAAATTTTAAACTCACTGTCGAGTCACGGTGATATTCTTGACTCACTTCGAGTCCTTGGTGAGTTGAGTTAACTCGTTCCGATTCTTACTGAGTTCCCACTGAGTCATTATCAACAGTGAGTTGTCTGTGCTTATACTAAATTCTAGCATTGTCTCCGGCTTACTCTGAACCCCCCCCCTTATTATTGTTGATTACTTGTGTCAATCTTTGAAATTGGTTATTAAGGTAAGTCACCCTCCAGTGCTTTCCTTTGTCCAAGGTCTCATTTGAGAACCTAGAAATCTGAGGGAGTATTGGAACAAAGGATTATCACCCCTTAAACCTTTTCAAGAATTGATAATTGTACATTTAATTACAATATCTGTGATTCTGTCATTACATTTATCATCATGTCCACTGCACACAAAATTGAGATTGATGTATGGAAGGGAAATGGTGACTTTAGTTTATGGAGTCAAAAAACGAGGGCTCTGTTGTTACAATAGAGATGCGCACATGCTATTGATAACACTTATCCCACTGAAACTAGTGCATATAGGAGACAAGAATTAGATGATATTGCCTGGAGCTCTATTTTCCTTCATCTATCTGATAGTGTAATTAAAAAAGCCAGTGAAACTACCTCTGTACAAGCCTTGTGGGATAAGCTGGAATCTCTTTACTTAACTAAATCCACTCCAAATAAATGCTATCTTCTAAGGCAGTTTTACAACTTCAGATTTGATACATCCTTAGGACTAGAAGAAAAACATTGATAAATATGTTAAATTAGTTCAGGATCTAGAAAATTGTGATGAAAATCTCTCTGAAGATCAACAAGTTGTCGGCCTTATGAACTCTTTAAGTGACAGATATAGGGAGATAAGAAATGCCTTGGAATATGGGGGGCAAGATCTTACAGTTGACATAATAATCTCTTCCCTAAGCAATAGGGAACTTGAACTGAAAGTTGAGTCAAAGGATTCTAGATATGGTAAAGACTTACACATAAAAGAAAAACAAAATCAAAATAAGAAGAATGCTATGTGTAACTTCAATTCCCATAAAAGAGGTAAACCCCAAAATTCAAAATTCAGAGACAAAAATAGAAATCAAGTAAAATCCAAAAATCAAATCAGAAAATGCTACTATTGTGGTAAAACAGGACACCTGATCAAAAACTGTTTTAAGAAATTATCTGATACAAAAGAAAAACAGAATTTTAATGGTTCTACAGCTATTGTCTGCAAGGGAGAACCAAATATACAGGGGGTTGTCCTTGTTAATACCATCAATAGGTTTCCCAAATGGATGGGTTTTAGATTCTGGGTGCACCTTTCATATGTGCCCCATTAAAGATTGGTTTCTGATTTATTTGATCTGAATGGAGGGCAAGCACAGATGGGAAATGACATGAGTTGTCAGATAAAAGGGATAGGAAAGGTGGATCTCCTGATGGAAAATAATTTTGTACTCAAACTAGACAAAGTGAGGTATGTACCTGAACTAAAAAGAAATCTAATTGCTTTGGGAGAGTTAGATGAAAACTATGAAATAAGAATCCATAAAAGCTCTATCAAGCTGATATCTGATGTTAGAGAAGTTGTCTCTGTTCCTAAGATAAATGGAATCTACACTCTGCAAGCTAAACCTCTGGTAGGCTACAACTCTGCTGCTATTGATTCACAATGTGATAAGTATTTAATCTGGCATAGAAGGCTTGGCCACATATCTGATAAGGGATTAACTATTCTAAATAAATTTGGATTTTTTGGAAAAGATAACATTGAAAAAT